TGAAATATTGCATTTGAAATATTTCATTCACATTGCTGCTAGTGTGAAACCCCTATTCCACAAATATCAAATTCAAAAACATTGATTTGATTTACGCCCAAAAAAATCATTTTTTTTTAATTAAATAAAAATTTTAAAATAACACTGTTTAGACCCCTAAGGGGTGTTATTGAAATTGAAATATTTTTATGGCCAAACAAAAAACATAAAAAAGGGTGATGATAATCTAAAAGAAAATAATGTTTGAACCAAACCCAAAAATGAAACAATTGCTACATCACATTCATCAATCCTAGCCAGACGAGATAATCTTCGGGTATGGAGGGGTGGTGGAGGTCAACCAAATTAAGCAAAATATACACACAAACAAAGAGACGAGAGAATGTCAAAAAGTTTGACAGATGTATACACTGTGTGTGTGTGTGATTTATGAAAAAATCATTTTTTTTTTTATTTCCAAACTAAGGTTCCAACTGCTTGTGGTGGTAGTTGATAGTATATCAATACTTTCAACAAAAAAAAAACATTATGACCACAAAAAAAAACATTGTGCCAAAAAGAAACGAAAAAAATTGGATGCAAACAAACAAAAAAACATACACAAAATAAACAGAATAATACAGAATATAGAATGAGAAAAGAAATCTTCAAAGCGAAATATAAATCATTATTTCATTATTTCAACTCGTCACACACACACATAGCTTATGGTTGAAAAGAGATGACTTGTATTTTTCATTCATTTCCCTTTCTTATTTCCAACCAACATACACACACATCTTACCAAACAAAAAAATCAAATGTTTACTACCGCCAACCATCATACACCCATACCAGAAATCTTATTTTGTTTTTTCAACAAAAAAGAAAACAACATCCAACAACAACCATTCATCCATTAGAAGGATGATTTCATTTGATGATTGCATACAATTTCATTTCTTCATTTTTATTCTCATTGTTGTCTATTGGTTTCTTATTTTCCAGAATTTTGAATCACTGGTAGTTCTGGTTGTCTACTACTGCTATTTTTTCTGGTTAGATAGAGAAAGAGACATTTTTTTCCAAGGACTTTTGAAATTTATATAGATAAATTGTTTGGATGTTTTTTTTTGTTTGTCCCAGAATCACAAACACAGACACTAGTCATCACTATTGGTTGATTCCAGTTGTTTTTTTTCTGTGACTAGTCACAAAAAAAACTTTGAAAACAACCCAAAAACATTCAAAACGATGAGACAGAAAAAAACAGTAAACAAAACTTGAATAAAGAAAAAAAAGGATATAGAAAAAATGTTGAGTGAAATAGCAAAGTCATTTCATTTTGCAATAACACTTATCAAAGAATATTAGGATAAAATTGGAAATAAATTGAAGAATTCCATGAATAATGAATGGTCATGGCCTTGTTTGTTGGTAGAGAGTAGTGAATTTTCCTTGATTTTTGGTTCAATATATGTCTTTCTCACTCTCTAATTTTTGAAAAAACAAAACAGAAACATTTACTAATTCTCATTTTCCATATTTTTTGTTTGTTTGTTTTTGATTTTAATTTAGGAAATAATCTTGATGGACATATACTTCTTACATTAAAAGCACCGGATAATTTAAATAAAATAAATGTAACGCAATCAATTTTTTGGTTACGTTTAATAATGAATCGTCGTTTATTGAATCGTATGGATCTACAAAGTCGTGCAAAAATTTTGGAAAAATCAGCTAAAGTTAATTTATATCGTTTGGCAGATAATACATTAATGACGAATACTCGTATACCTCGTATTCATTCTAGATCATTTTTTCAAAAACATTCATCATTTTTGAATGATAATAATAATAATCAAAATCATCATAATAATAATGATGAAGAAATTAAATTGAAAAAATTATCATTTCAATTATTGGCTACACATCAACTAAAATCATTAAAACATGGTTGGATAAAATTTGATCTAACAAAATCAATAAATAATTGGTTTAAATCGGTTAAACAACAACAAAATGCTGGTGATTTAGGAAAAAAATTAATATTATTAGTTGATTGTCCCGATTGTAATAATATAATAGGCGTTGATCTTGGTAATGGACAACAACAACAACAACATTCATCAGGTAGTAACCGTTCAAAATCAATAATATCAACATTTACTAATCATCATTTTCATAATCATAATCATAATCATTTTCATAATAATCAAAAATCAAATGATAATAATATTTCTACAATAAAAAAATCAGGAAAAAATGGTCGTAAACATCGTCATTTTCGACCATATTTATTATTAAAAACTGAAATGCTTGTAAAATCAAGACAACGTCGTCATTCATATAATTGTGAAGATGTTAAAAAAGGAACATGCTGTAAACAAAAATTATATGTTGATTTTAAAGATATTGGTTGGTCATGGATAATATATCCAGAAGGTTTTATTGCAAATTATTGTATGGGTGATTGTCAATATTCACATACAAACGATTTATATGCATTTCCACATTCACATGTTTTAGATAATTATCGTGTTGTACATAAAAATGAAACAATATCAACTTGTTGTTCACCAAGTAAATTATCACCACTTTCAGTTGTTTATTATGATAATAATAAAAATCCAATTAAAAGAGATATTGAAAATATGATTGTCGATGAATGTGGATGTACATTTTAAAAAGTCAATCCTATTATATAACCAACCAACCTATTACACACTACCATTTATATGTCATCATAATAAAATTATTATGTGGATTATTATTTTTATTATTAAAATGCATACCAAACAACAACAAAAAAAAATTACAAAATTATATAAATACAATTGTAAATATTTTTACATTCATTCATTTCATTTCAGTCATCATCGTATTGAGAGCCCCCATTAACCCCCTACACAATACACACTTACAGACACAAATTAGCCGATATTGATAATTTTCATTTTTTTTCTAAGAATGTATTTTTGTTTTTCTCTCTTTGAAAAATATTCTTCAAAATATTTTTTTTCTTCTGCAAAAAACAACAATATTCCGGTTAGTCAACAAAGTTTCTGAAACACTAAACACTAATCTGGAATCAAAAAAAATTAAAATTAAAAGAAATTCTTATTCATAGCTAAAATAATAATAATTATTATGTCCAAAGGACCAAAAACCATTAGGAGATTAAGAAAGCAAACAAATTATTTTCATTTTTTTTTCATTTTTCATTTTTCATTCTTTATTCTTCTTCTTCATGACATTCATATTTTGATTTTCTCTCATTGTTTTTTCACATTTTTGTTGTTGTTGTTTTGTTGATATCATCAATGCATTCCTTTCATTGAATACATCAATCATTAACCAAAAAAAAAAAAAAACATTTATCCGAAAAAAAAACGTAATGATAAATTGATTAATAGGGGCCACTAATCAATCAAAATTATCATTTTATTTTTCTGACCAAAAAAAAACAAAGAGAGAAACAAATCGATATAATCGATATTTTTTCATCATCATTCTTCTTTTATATATTTAAACAAACAAAATAAATAAATTATATTTAGGAATTTTACCTTTGCTCCTTTCACACATTTACCATTGCTTCAACATTATTATTATTTTCATTTTTATCTTTTCAATCAACAAACATTCAAAAATTTAACTAATGACAATCTAATTTGATAATCATTTTTTTCCCGAATTACCCGATTCATCACAATCAACAATCGATCGATCGATTAGTGAAAATAATTAATATATAGTATTCGCCCATCACATTTTTTTTCGTGGCTTTTTTGGATTTTATCATCATTATCATTATCACATCAAGAAATTTGTTCTTGTCCACTTTCTCTTTATTTTTTTTTTTGTTGAATTTCATTAGTTTCATTTTGTATTTTATTAGTAAACTGATTGATTGATTATGTAACAATTGAATAAATAAAAAACCAAAAACAAAAAAAACAAAAAAAAACTTTGATCATAACCAAAATAAACAAACAAAATGATAATGTGTGTTTTCGGTCATTTACTTTGTGATGATTATAAATTGATAAACAATTATAATAATAATGCATATTATAAATGAAATTTATTTTGAAAAATAATAAAAAAACTTTCTTTGAAATTTATCCAAAAAAACAATGTCTTTTTCTTGATTGTGAATCCTTTACCTGAACAATTCTAATTCAAAACAAAAGAAGTTCATTGATTTCAGATCCAGAATCCGAAAAAAAGGTCATCGAATTGATTTTTGTAGAACGACTTTCGACATTGTTTAAAAAGAAAATTCCAGGAAAAAAATAAACAAAAAAAAAGAGTTACAATCAAACAATCATTTTTTGAAATGAAAATTGAAAAAAAACGAAAAAGAAAAAGAAAATTTTAATGATTTTTTTTTTGTTTCAGATTCGATTCATTGAATGATGATGGTGATGACCTTGTGATATTATTCATCATAATTTAACCATGATGAACAAAAATCAAAAACCAAACCAAACAATCATTATGAATGATGATCATCATCAACAAAATGGAAATAAATAAACAATTTTCACATTTTTTTCTTGCAAAAATGATGATCATCATCATCATTCTAAATAGGAATTGGTTGCCATCAAAACCAAAAAAAAAAAAATTCATATCACATTGATCAAAGGTGATTTTTTTTTCGTTAATGATCACCATCATCATCAGTAGTAGATTTGTTTTGTCTATTCTGACCATCATCATTATCATTATCAACAGATTCAAATGATTTTTGATTCTCAATGTAACAAACAAACAAACAAACAAAAAAATGATAGATGACAACATCTTTATATGATGATGATGATGATTCCAAAGATCATCATCGTTTGTAGAATTTTTGTTGTTGTTGTTGTTGTTGTTGTTGTAATAAATCCATTTTGTTATCGTTTTAAAAAAATGGATAACAACAACAACCAAAAAAAAACAACATTGATGATATAAAATGGATTGAAACATTGCGAAACATCAAAAACGTTTTAGTCTCTTTTTTTTGGAATTTCAAAATATCAATCGTTCATTCAAGGATCATATCCATCCATCCATCTATCGATGATCATCATCATGGCCACACACACACATCAAAAGTGTTGATTGAAAAAAATCTTTTCCGAAAACAAAACAAAAAACTTTCCAAGAAAAATGATAATAAATGGATAAACCATCCAAAAAAAAAACCAAAACCAAAACCAAAAGCTAAAATGAAATATGGCAATAAGTGATAAACAACAAACCGAATAAAATGATAGACCCTAAAATGCTGAAAAAAAAACAAAATTCAAACAAATAAATAAACAAACAAACAACCAAAACAAGAATCTTACAAAACAAAACAAAACAAAAAGCGGAACAATAATAAAAAAAACGATTCAATGATTCCAAAAAAAAAAGATTTATGTTTTTGTTTTCCTCCTTTCATCATCATCATTGTCAACAACAATCCCCCTTTTTTTCTTTTTGTACATTATGAATTGACAATTATCATCTTTTTTATTCTGGTTTTATTCCATTTGGTCATATTGAATCATCATCATCAGTTAGTTAGTTAGTTAGTTAGTTATATAAATATAATGTGAGGTAATATTGTTGTTGTTGTTGGCTGGTTGGTCGATCCGGTGCAAAGTTGTTGTTGTTGTTGTTTTTTATTTCATTTTTTTATTTTTTATAGCCACGAATAAATAAAATTCAATTAAACTAATGAAAAACAAAACAAAACAGAATATCATTGACATCATTGAAAACAGGGAAGCAGGAAAAAGAAGAATTTTGACCCAAAAAAAGTTTTCCATTTGTTTCGGGGAAAAAAAATTTCCAAGAAAATTTCTTTCGTAATTGTTTACAAAAAAATTTTTTTTTGTTTTTTTTTGAAAAATATGAATCTAATGAACATATCAAATGTAACATGTTTGAGTTTTAACCGAAATCTTTTATATGTAAAATATGAATGATGCAAAAGGCTAAAGCGAACAACAAAATAAAAATCCTTTAGTTTAGTCATAAATTATTTTGGTTGTTTTTCTTCGTTTCTTCTGATTATTATTTTACTGAGAAAAGAAAATTTAGTCCTTTATGGATCCATCGCTATCTCTTTGTATATCCAAGTTTATTGAATTCTTTATGGAACATTATCCGATCCCGAAACCAAAAAACAGCAAAAGTATCGAACATTCATGATTACAATCGATGTCGAAAAAATTGAAAAAGAATGAAATTTGTTGTTTTTTGCCTTGTCCATTTTTACGATTCCAAATAATTCTTAGGGTCCATTGACCGATGATGATGATGGCCATCAATGGTTGAACACTGAAAAAAAGACCTTGCAATTCTTATTCCATGGTGGCCATTCAAAGAGAGAAAGAGAGAGATTGAAAACAAAAAAAAACATTAACCCGTCAACGGATTAATAATAAATCAAATGAATTTTTGTTTTTTGTTTTTTGCATTCGATCCAAAATGAAAAATAAAAAACACAAAACAAAGAGTGTGTATGTAAGATTGAAATGAATTAATTTGTGTGTTTGTGTGTGTGTAATAGATGACGTAAAATTCTTGTATCGTTTATCTTTTTCTTTAAAAAGAAAAGATAAAGCTAATTGAAAAAAAAAGAGAAAAATTAAATAGGAAATTCAAATATTCGTTTCAATTTGATTTTTTGGGAAAAATTTTTTTTTTGAAAAAAAACATAATTAATTAAAATGATTATTGAAATTGAATTCGCGAATGTTTTTTTAAACAAAAAAATTAATTAATTAATTAAAATAAAAGAAAATTATCAAAATTGATAAAATGGACACACAAAACACGAATGACATTTGTTTTTCGTAAAGTTTATTCTCATTCGTCATTCGATTTCCGGAAATTTTTATTCAAATGAAAATGAAAAAAAAGTGAGAGTCGAAGATAAAAGAATTGAAATGATAATGAATTCTATGAAAAAATATTTGTTTTTTTTTTTGTTGTTATTGTTGCCGATGATCGATATTTGCATAATGATAATTATTGTATAACAATATTTGAGATATTTGTATAACAATTTTTTGTTTGGTAAATGTCAAATTTACTTGTCGTTGATGGGCGGATTTGCTCAATTTTTTAGATGAATTTTTAGATAAAACTGATCTCTTTTTTTTTGTGTGGGGCGTTTTGTTGTTGTTCATATTCGGTTACACTATTTCATTATAATTTTTCAAGGTTTTCTTTTTCAAGAATTCGAATCTGTGAAAAGGAAATTAAAGATCAAAACTAGAGAAAAAATGTGTGTGCGTGTGTTTGTAATTAACAAATATAATCAAAACATTTTTTCGAATTAACGTTATTCGGTTATTATCTCGTCTAGATACTTCTAAACATACAAAAACATCTTTATACCGGAAAAAGGATTTTTATTGGATATTTACTATTATTATCTTATGATATACATAGGTCAAAATAGTGTAATCATTTTGAATTTGAAAAAAAATGTTTATTTTTCTCAAAATCATCATCATTTTTATTCAAAATTTGCACAGGTTTTTTATCAAATTTTCGGATAATAAATAAATAAATCAGTGAATGTGTATATGGTGGAAAAGGAGAGAAAATAAAATATTATTGAATGTAATAAATTATTATTTTTTAAATATAAATATATTGAATTAAAAATCTGTTTTCATCTTTTAAAACAAAATGCCAAAGGAAAAAAAAGAGAGAGAGATTGATTGAATAAAATCTATGATATTGATATCTGTGCATAACCAGTCAATGTTTTTTCATCCAATGGTTCACTATCGTCACAAGAATTCTGGTTTAAAAAAAATAAAGATTTGAAATGTTTGATTAGAATGTGGAAAAAAATCAATCAATCAATCAAATAACAAACCAATGGAAAAACAATATTCTTCATTTTAGCACGATCTTGTATTAATTTTTGTAGATTCTGTGAAACTGGTTCAAAATCTTTTCCATCAACAAGACCGGCCGATACTAATTCCTGGGCAATACCATTTGCGGTATCTTTTTTTTCCGAGAAAAGACAAAAATAGATTGAAAATTAAAATTTTTCATATTTTTATTCAAAAACAAACCTTTATCAACGGTAAAATCAAAACGAATATCATTCAATTCACGTTTAGAATTACGAATACGCAATACAAGATTAATAGGAATATCATCACCCATTGGTTGTTGTTGTTGAGATAATAGTTGAGAATTGTTTTCTGTTGTTGTCTCAACGACCATTGCAGTTGAAGATTGTTGTTGTTGATTTTGAGTCAATTTAACATTGGATTGTTCCAAAACGGATTCTGTTTTTGGATTTGAATCTCCTTGAACTTGTATCAATGATTCATTTGGGATTACTATTTTTGTTTTTCATTTTAATTAAAATTCGTAGACCAACAAGAAAAAAAGTTTCAAATGTTTTTGGTTTCAGGGCAAATTGGTTAAAAGATGATGATGATGATGATGATTTTTTTTCGTAAGAAAAGCCAAAACAAAATTATTCCCAGATAAAATCAGATATAAAAATAAAGAAAAAAACGATGAATTAGCTTAATTGATCCAATTTTTTAAATTAAAAAATAAAAATAAAACTTTTTTCCAAAACAGAAAAAAATTTCATTTAGAATTTAATAAATATACCTTTAGGCATTAATGTCGAATCATTAGTAATGGTCGTTGTTGCATTATGATTATTAACGGGTATTTGCTCGTTTGATTGTTGTTGTTGTTGTTGCGATAAATTTTGAGCTGTTGTTTGCGGCTGCTGCTGTTGGGAAGATGATGATAATGGTGATGAAGATGATATTGGTTGTTGTTGCTGTGGTTGCCGATTTGGTGATGATTCACTACTATTATCTTTATTATTATTTTGATTATCATCATCATCTTCTTCATCCGATGATGACCAAACCCAATCACCAGCTTCAGTACGATGAAGACGACCACTTGCACCTTGTGCACGGCGACTAGTACGAGCTTTTTTCGAACGTTCTTCAATAGTTGGTGCAATAGTTAACAAAGTATTTTGTAAATATTTTCGATCCTGTTATTCATTCATAAAAAATTTCAATTAATTTTGACTGTAATTAAAAAAAATCGGATTGGAAAACAAACTTTTGATTTGCGAAAAAATTGATGTTTCAATAATTCGGTTGCCGTAGGTCGTTTGTTTGGATCTTTTTGCAAACATTCGGAAATAAATTTACGAACAGATTTACCATAATTTTTATATTGATCTTTTTCATCCGATACTGATTCCAATGTAGGTGGATCATTTTGTAATGTTAACATCAATACTTTCATCGGTGGATATTTATGATAAGGAGCTGTTCCAGTTACCAATTCGATAGCCGTTATACCAAGGCTCCATATATCTGCTTTAAAATCATAACCAGTCACCTGTTCCATTACTTCGGGTGCCATCCAACAAGGTGTACCGACAAATGTATGACGTGATTTTTGTCTTGATAAATCACCACCGGTGGCTAACCATGAACTGACACCGAAATCTGATTGTTAAACATGAAAAATCAACAATATTAATTTCAAGTAAATTTACAATGGGAAAAACAAATAAAAACATTACCAGCGATTTGTACGGAACCATCATCACCAAGTAAAATGTTACCAGCTTTAATATCACGATGAATCTGTCCATTTGCATGAAAATATTCCAATCCTTTTAGTACTTCACGTAGAACAGTTGCAATAGTCGCTTCATCAAATACACCATGTCGACAATCTTCATGTTTAACTTTATGTTTAATAATATCCAATAATGAACCACCACCTAATAATTTAATGACTAACCAAAGTTCTTCTTTAACAACAAACGATGTATGATAGGTAACAACATTATCATGATTACAAGCTGACATTGCCTGTATCTCTTTCAATAATTCATCCATCGATGTATTCCATTTTTCAAGATTAATTTTTTTAATAGCACATCTTTCTTTTCTTGGTTTACAATATGCTGCATGTACTACAGCCGTTGCACCAATACCAATAATTTCACCAACTTCATAATCATCAACATTATTTGGCCAATTATAAGCATTCGATGATGGTGATGATGATGTAGAATCATTTAAATTTTGTTCACTTGACATTGCTAATTGTAATGCTAAATCTTGTAATTGTTTACGACGTGAACTTTTCGGTGAACGTGTTAATGTATCTTTTAGATGTCGTATACGATACGATTGATGTGAATGTGGAATAACTGATGCAGCGGCAGCTTTCAATACGGCCGGTTTTGATAAACCAGATGCTAATGATGAAGATGATGATGATGATGTTGATGAACGTGATGATATAATATCACCAGCACCACTATTACCACCGGATGATGGATTCAAAATGGCATTAGCACTTGAAGATTTTTCTGTTTCATTAGGCATTGTTTTTCAGATGGTTTCGGGTAAGAAATTAGACAAGAACAAATATTAATTAATATTAAAAGATTATCGATTAAAACATTAAGAAACAATTTAATGGCAAATAAATTAACGATAATCGTTCAGTGTGTGTGTGTGTCCTACACAAAGAGAAAATTATTTCTGAAAAACAAACTATTTCAACGAAAAATTTGAAACAAAAAATAAAATATCAAAGGGAAAATTAAAACAAAAAAAAATCAATGAATCATGATCATTATCATTATGATTGAATGAAAAAATATTATTATTATTAATATTTATCATCAAACGAATAGAGAGAAGAGAAAAATGAATTGAACCAAAACTCAGGTAATAATGTTAATGATAATGATGACAATCAAAAAAATGAGATTGAAAAGATAATGATTAAACAGAATTTAAGTTCAAAAAAGGGAATGAAAAAAAAAACGAATAATAATGAATTGCCCCAGTATCCGATACCAAATCTGTCAATGTTATGTATTATGTTGCATATATAAAAATGTAACGGTAAGATTTTTTCTTCAATGAAAAATGGTACATTTTATTAATCCTCATTTATAATGATGATGATGATGTTTCATTTTACCTAATGCTATATGTTCATTAACAACAACAACAACAATTTTTGTTTCTAATCTTGAAAATTTCCAATTAAATACAATCAAAACAAAACAAAAAAATGAATTTGTTTGAACGTAAAAAAAATGTACGTATGTGATATATGATATTGAATATTCTTTGCCAAAATTCTCTTGTTTTTAATTCAATTTCGAAGAATTTTTGTTGTTGTTGTTGTTGTTGTGCATGTATAACCTATATATCTTTCATGTTTGTTTTGATTTTTTTTTGGCACTCAATTATTCTGTTATTTATTAATTGATTTATATGAATTTTGACTGAATATCTGATAAAAAATGATAATAATGAGCAAACAAAAAAAAAATTAATGACGTGTGTTTAACAATTTTACAATTCATTAATTTTTTTTTTATAAACACACATTTTCAATTACAAGTTGTTGGTGGTTTAGTTTGTTTCTATCATATTTGTTTTGTAATGTCAAAACAATGCTCGATAATGATTTATAACATACCTGGTGATTAGAATGTGGTGTAGATTTTGATTTTCATAACAACGAAATTGATTGATTCGAAAATGGCCATGAACATTAGCGATCGATAAACATGTGTTTTTTGTTTTTGGTGAGGGGAAAAAAAGAAATTTTAATTAATTTTTGATTGAAAATCAAATCAATTTTTTTTTGTAAGAACCTTTAAAACATTAAAAATTCGAATAATTCTGTTAATTCGAATCGATTTTGTTTTATTCGCTTGACTAAAATCAATTCAAACGACGACGATGAAGTCGACGAAGACAACAATGTTTATTTTTTAATAAATAAATAGAAAAATGATTCGTCGTTGATGATAATGTGATGATGATGATCAACAGGATGGCAAAGAAAAAAAACTATCTATATAAATAAATTCATTATAGGAAAATTTCTATTTCTATTTCTTGTTGTCATTCACATTTGCATAGCTATATTTGTTTTCCTGGGTTTGTTTTGGTTGCCTATTGCTAAATAATACGAAAACACTGAGCTGAGAATGGGAAGAAATTTGTTATTTCTGTCAAAAATAAAAATTCGTGTCACAATTTACACAACACATCAAATCATCAAAGAAAAATAATCAAAGGAAAAAAAACCAGGCAAAACAAATAAACACTCACAACACATGTAACAAATTGATGGGGGGAAAGAAAGAACGAAACGGAACAAAAAAAAAAGAAAAAAAAGAAACGGGCTGTGTTTATGCAAGAAAAAAAAACGCGAGCCGGTTAGTTTAACTGGTTTTTTTCATTCTTGGTTTGGTTAGTTTGTTTGGTTGCTGTCGTCGTCGTCTTTGTCGATTGGGCTAACCATCTGCAATATATGCAATATAATTGCATCAAATAAAATTGATTCGAAATGCGCATGCGTTTTATCAAAATTTTACCGTTTTAAAATATTCTTTCATTGAATTTATGAGAATTTTTTTCCGATTTGAACATTTTATCAAAAAAAAAGAATTTGATTTCTTGAAACAAACACTTACCTAACATACGATGTTTACGTCGTTGTTTGACCATATTTTTAATATCTTCATCAAGAACATCTTTGGTTGCTGATATTCGTCGATAACGTCCGGTTAATTGTTCAGCAACTTCTTCCGATACTCTTATCATACGTTCATAATCATTATCAGCTGCACGTATTTGTGGATTATTATTATTATTATTATTACCATTTGTTTTAGCCATTTTAGTAAATTGATTCGAACTAAAATTACCGGATAAATTATTATCATCATCATTAGTTATGAATAGATTTTCATTTTCATCAAAAGAATAATTAATTATATAGGCTTGTTGACGGCCCGAATTTAGTGGCCAAATTTTTCGAATCATAATTTTGGGTGATTAGTTTGAAATGAATGAATGAACAGAGGAAAAACATCAAAAAAAAAAAATTTTGATCAAAGAAAAGATGTTTGGAAAAAAAATTGATCTAAACATCACCAACAACATGGTAACATGTTGACGAATCGTCAAATGATAATGATGATATTGGATATGATTTCTCAAATTCATCATTTTTCTTTTTCCAATCCCTCTAATCAATATCATAGAAGAAATTTTCAAAACACAGCTCATGCTCTGATCATTTACCGATCAACCAATACCATGGTTGAAATAAAATCAATTTAACATCATCAACGATTGATTGATGGATGGATGGAAAATTAATTGTAATTCGAAACACTATAATTGAGCAGATGGTTTCATTCGAATTGTACATCGAACAACATAATTGAATGTTTCTTTATTATTATCATCATCACCATCATCATTATTGTCGTCGTTGTTTGTCATTACGGATGATCATAACTTTGATGATAATCATAATAATGATGATGATGTTAGCTTCTTAAATCAACCAACAAACAAAGAGAAAGCAAAAAAAATGAAAAAATGAAATGGATAAATTCATTACCAAACACGCACACAATATTGACCAATTCATAGAACGAAATTATTATCATCATAATGATCGTTGATCAGAAACAAAAACAAAAATCAATTCAATTCCAGAATCGTGAACAACAACAAAAAAAAATCATCAACAAAATCACACCCGAATATTACCATCGTGATTCGATTTAAAAATCAACAACAACAGAAAAAATGAAAACAACACTTACATTAATTTAATTTATTTTTGAAGAAGATTTTACGAAAGAATTTCAAAATAAGAAATCATTCAAACAAAACAAAAACATCAAATTTTAGTTGTGTGTATTTAATAGTCTGCTATGGACATATATTAAAAAAATACAAAATCTAATCATTCTTTTAACCTAATCGATTAAAAAAAAAGATTGAATTCATTTCATTTGGTAAATCAGCCCCCAAAAAACATCAAATTCAATATGTACACTTGATGATCAATACAAAATTATTGCCATTAATGATTGTCTTAATTTCTTTGAGTTAAATGATAAGTTTCTCTCTCTCTTTATTTGTGTGTATGCGTGTGTAAACAACACCGGAAATTTTTTTATTATTATTACCACCTCAATCACTATATGTCATATAATCAGTCAGTCAGTCAGTCAGTATTATCAATGAATGTTCTTAAGATGATAATCAAGTTTTTAAAAAAATGATAATTTTCTATTTCATCTTTTTTATTTTATTTGATGATAATCATCATCATCATTATTGATGATGACAAATTTTTTTTTTATCAATTCTTATTTTGTTGTTGTTGTTGTTGAGTGTCAAGTGGTCAATCTGTTGTCTTTAGCTTTTTTTCACATCAAAAACATTACATTAGATCTGAGGAATGTTGTTGTTGTTGTCAAAAACAAAAAAAAATGATTATTGTCATTAACAACTTGGTCATGTTATTATCTTTTATTACTTTTTAACAATGATGATGTTTTTGATATATTTTGTTGTAATGATTTTGTTGGAAATTCCGGTAATCTCATATACATTCGTATTGCTTCAATACGATCATTTGGTACGATAATAGATGATGCCTGTTTTAGAAAAGCAAAATGTTTTTGATAAAATTGTTGACATTGTTCAGGTGATTTTGTTTGCAATATTTTTGCAAATATAAATGCATCAAATTTAGGTCGAATATAATCCATAATGGCTAAAAAAATTATTACTTCATAAATATTCCATTTAGGATTACTTTTACACTGTGTGTGTGTGGAGAAAAACTAATTAATCCAATATCAATAATATTAAACAAAACAAAAAAAATACCTTTTTAAGAAAATGTAAAAATTTTAAATAATCCATACTATTTTCACGTAATTTACATGTTTCAAATAGATTCTGTTGTTGTAATTGTTGTGTTTGTCGTCGTAATTCATTAATCTGTTCACGACGTTCTTGAAAACATTCTAATCTTGTTACATCGAATCGAGGATTTGATTCCTGTTGATAACATTTATCAATAATTGTTGCCAAATCTAAACAACCATTATCATCTTGATTACATTCAATTTGTTCATTGATTAAATCAAATATAGTTGTATCTTCTATTAGTGAAACAAAAATAAAATGTAAAAAAATATGAAAATTTTCCAAAAAAAACATTTTACCTTCACGATTAATCATTAATACTTCGGAAACACTTGGTGGACGATTTTGTTTTGTATAATACATATAGAATAATTTATTTACAATATCATCATCATTGATCATAACTTTGATCATATCTAATTTATGTTCAGTAAAAATAAAACGTTCAATATGTGCACGTTCAGCATAATCCATTGGTTGTGGTGCAAATGATAATTGGCTTAATATTTGTATACATTCTTTTAGATGAAAATCTAATGCAGTTAAAAATCCTAATGATTGTTCTTCATTCATATTGGCCACTTCTTTAGCTAGATCAATAAATTCTCGAACTATAACAAAAAGAGATAAATAAATAAATCAAATTTTTCAAAAGTTTCATAATCAAGATTCTTACGTTCATCATCACCAATATTCGATTGTGGTTTCCATAATAATATCGATTTACGATCGACATTATTTTTATTATCATCGATAATGGATGAATCAATTTCTGCTTGATAATCATTGCCGACACGAATTTTATCTACCGAAAGAAAAAAAAATAAAGTTTTTCATTTATAAATTTGGATTAATTGAACAATCTGCAAACTGTTACATATTTTTAATGATTATTATTAATTATTAATTTGATTGTTGAAAGTTTTGAATGATTTTTTTAACTCCGCACAACATTACTTAACACTGCCAACTTACTACACACACATGTCTTTTACTTTTTTGGATTGCTCAATATTCATCATATTTTTGCATTGAATACATTTTATATCTTTATGAATCATACTTTTATTTTTTAAAAATTCAATCGCTTTATCGTTGTCATTTAATAATGGAAGTATTACTGTTTGAAAAATATTACGCGATATAATTATGAAAATTAAAAGTCAATTGATCTAAAAAATTTTAATCCAAAATGCTAATACTTACTTTGGCTAAACACACCTAAATTTATATTAGCATTTGTTAATGTTGTTGGATGGACAATCGGATGATTCATAATAGAATTACAATGATAACTTTTTCGAGTATTATGGCTAGACAGCGTGGATGATGATGATGACAATGATGTTGTTGTTGTTGTTTGACGTTGTTCATTAGTTTCATCAGCTAAACGAATTCGTTTACGAACATCATCGGTCATTTTTTGAACCGCATGATCGATTCGTTGTTGATGTATTGTATCAGTTACTTTGTCCGTCATTTTGGTCAACAATTATCATTGAATTTCAAAACAAATTCAATATATTGAGCAATCGAGGATCACGTGACTCATCATCAAAATTATTATTTGTTCATAAAAGTAATGACATTTATTTTTGTTCAATTTTTGAAATTATTTTCTAATTATTGAAGATTTGTACAAATAAACTTAAAATTTAAAAAGAAAAACATGGAATTCAAGTTAAATAAAACCATATGAGAAACATTGATATGGTCATTAATGTCATGCCACCGAACAGGACAAATTTATCACCAATATGTCGTTTTTCAATTAAACGCATCACGGAATTTGATAGGCCGATACTGTTCAATGCTTCGAGAAGATTTTTTCTCGTATTTTTCAACATTGATCGTTGTTGACGAAGTGTTGACAATACATTCGAACCGGTAGATAACATTTCATCAACATGACGATTAAAACCACCTAATTTGGTACGTTCTTGATCAAAATATTCTTGAACACCAAGATCGATTTGTGTATCATTTTTAGCATGAGTTTCAGCATTCGTTGTAAAACGTCTTGTTAATAATTCTTCACGTTCACGGTGTTCACGTTCACGATGTAATCTTCGTTGATGTAATGTACGAAATGAACTTAAAAGATGTTTATGATCATATCTAAATCAGTGATGATCGATTGAAATAGAAAATTAATCTTAAAATAAATTCATAAAGAAAAACTTACCTTAATTGATCCAATTTTAATTTCATTGTATTTCTTTGCGAACCAGATGTTTTATTTACCGAAATTTCAATTCTATCCAGATATTGTTCCAATGATTTAATACGTTCATCAATAGCACCTTCAATTGCTTGTGCTTGTATGGAATCATGACAAGATTCTAATCGTCGAAATAATGAATCTTGTATCTCATCGACAATTCGATGTGCATTGGTAAAATTCTCATTCGAAGAAAACATTTTTCTATTGATTTTCAATTTAAAATGATTAATTTTTTTTATTGCATCATCACATAATCATCACATTACCCAAAGTTGACGTGTACAAATATTATTTTTTTTAGAAAAATTCAAATAAAATGTTTACAGGATTTTTGAGAAGTATTTTTTTTTTGAATCAACAAAGCAAACGATTCGACATTATTAATTGGGATGAATTATTATGCGATTAAAAAATATTTTTTTAAAAAATTAATAAAATTTAGAAAAAAATAAATGCCAACAAACACTGATTCTATTTGGACAATATTATCATCGAATGAATCCAAATAGGTTTCAATAGCCGTCTGATGTATCATTTTATTGGAACAAAAATTCTGAAAATCCAATCCAATCATGTGATCCTATATAATTTCTCTGTTATATACCATTGAAACTCCACCTTTGCAATTTGTTGCATGCTCCAAAGTTATCAGGAATTATTGTTGTTGTTATGCAAGCGCGTGATTGTAATGTTTTGAATCGTGAATTTTTTGTTTTTAAAGTTTTTAAATTTGAATGATAAAAATGGATTTAATCGAATCAATGGATACTTCGGAACCGGAAAAAGATGAAACAGATGATGATGATGATGGTGATAATGATGAACAAGAAATCCAAAAGATAAATATCGCTTTACAAATGAATCAGATGTTAACCGAACAATTCACATGGAAACGACAGAAAATTCTAAAAGAATTAAACGATTTAGATTTCTGTGATAATAGTGAAGATGATGATAAGGATGATAACAAAGAATTATCGTTAAATCAAAATCGAAAAGTAACACAATTAGAAAAACGATATTCAACAACATTATTGACAACATTCTACAAACCATATCTTCGTGATAATCGTGGTTTTAGTGCACCAAATCTTTTCAATCCTGAACATGAATATGTTCTTGAATCACGGATTCAAATGATATTACATCATCCTTGTCATGTTCGAAATTGGACAGAAAATGAAAAGAACGTCATACTTAATGAAGTACGATCACAACATTTATTCAAACAAACACGTTCGATCGTCAAACGTATTGAAGAATTGTTAGTATTACCTGTACGTAATGTCGAACAGGCTGAAGAAATCAAACAATTAAATTCGGAATTAGCATTGAAACGATTATCACATGAAGAACCGGAGCGATTCTGTTCGAATATCGATTGGTTAGCCATTGCTAAATTATGTGAAAATGAAGATCGAAATGATGATGATTGTGAACTTTATTATAATAATTATCTACATTCCAGTGTAAATCGTCAAGAATGGACAGAAGAAGAAGATGTAAAACTTAAAGAATTAATTGAAAAATATGGTGAAAATGATTGGGATCGTGTTGCGGTCGAAATTCATACCGGTCGTTTACCATGGCAATGTTGTTCTCGTTATCAATCACGACATTCAAAATCATTACATATGACCGGTCCTATTGATGATGCCGAAGCAAAAAAACTTCTTCGTTTAATTGAACAGGCACGTACAGATGGTGGTGAAGTTGATTGGAAATATGTTTCACGTATTGAAGAAGGTCGACTATTACCACAGATAAAATATTTTTATCAACAACATCTGCTCGAATCATCAGAATTAAAATTGAAAAAATATACTCGTTGGACACGTCTTGAAGATACGATATTATTTGCTGCACATAAATATTATAAAAATGATAATAATGATGATAAACATGATTGTATTTATGTAAAAATTGCTAAACATTTACCTGGTCGTACAAATCGACAAATACGTGAACGTTATACAATGATATTATCACAACAACGACAACAAAAAGGTTATTGGAAACAATCGGAAGATTTAGCTTTATTAAATGCATGTGCAAAAGATTTACTTGAAAATGGTAAAATTGATTATGTTCGTTTAAATCGTAATCTATTTCCATTACGTAATCCACATCGAATATTTCATCGTTTTCGTTTATTATCAAGATATTTACCGGAAGATTTTTATCATCAACCAATCAATAATAAATTATTAGATTGTTTACATCCGGTTAAAACAAAACGTTTTGCAATGAAACAAATTTATCGGCCAAAATTACCAAAAAATCGTCAAAAATTATTCAATTATTTACGGAAATTATCCAATATTCAACAGATGATTATGGAAGGTAAACAAATTGAATATAATTTTGATGATGATGATGATGATAAAAATGATGAAGATTTTATTAGTGATAATGATAGTGATAATGATGTTGTCGATGTTGATATTGTACAACAACCACAACAACAACAAACAACAAAAACAAACAAAATAAATTTACCAACAGCATTAACCGTATTGACTAAACCTAATGATAAAAATGATGAACAACAATGGACAATCGATTCATGTATACAATTATATAAACATCTTAAACCATTGGCTGGTTTTTTTCAACGTCGTTGTATATATGATACAATTGGTGATATATGTTTGACAGATATGTTACGTACAATTTTACGAGAATTATTAGATACGGATATTGTTACCGATATTTGTCGCGGTACTAGTTCTTCTTCTTCATTGATTAATCAATGTAATAATAATAATATGAACCTTGAAACTAATGATCAATATAATCATAATAATGTTAACAATGTCAATCCATTGTCATTGGATACTATAAGATTCTATTTAGCTTCTACATCCGTTTCAATCAATCAACAACAACAACAACAACAATCTAATAATATTCGTTCATTGTTTTTACCAAATTATTCAACAACATATGCATATGTTTTAATGCAATTTTTATATAATGCAATGTTTATTCATTCAGTTGAATGTCAATATAATATTAATGATAATAATATTGATAATATTAATGGACAATTAGAATATCAAAAATTACGTTCAATATTTATATCATTATTTTTATGGCCTGCTTTATTATCCAGATTAAGACCTGATACTGATTGTAATGATAAACAATTACAGGAAATATTAATATCTAATCAACAACAACAAAAAAACAACAACAACAACAATGTTATTAATTCAATGAATATTGAATTACCGAAAAATTCTGATGAATCAAGTTTAATGATCAAATGTCGAAAAAGAGGTAGAAAACCGAAACGTCAATTTCGTCATGAAAATTTGGATAAATTTCTGCGTATTCGTTCAATGCAGAATAGAATATTTTTTATTAATAAAAATCATAATTATGAATCCGAACAAGTTTCACCATCATCATCATCATCATCACCATTACTATGGTTTCAACAAAAAAATTTTAAAAAATTAATTACAGAAAAAGTTACAGAATTTCTTGAAAAAATTTCCAAACAAATTGATGATGAATGGTCACGTCGTCAAAAGGAAAAAGAATTATTATTAGAGGAAAAAAAGAATAATAAATCCTGTTCAAAAATTGTTGTTCATAAAAGACGTGCACGATCTATTGATAATGATGATAATGATGATAATGATAATCCGATTTCGAATAAGCCGAATATTGTACGACGACGTTCACAACGTATTTCATCATCATCACAACAACAATCATGATTTTGAAAAATTAAATGTTGAAATTTTTAAAATAAATAAATAAACTTTTTTTTTCGTTAAAAAATTTGAAAAATGATTCTCAAATTTTTTTTAAAAAATTTCAATTATAAAATCTATTGTGTTTTTTTTCTGATGATGTGATTTTTGGGACAATTTTTTTTTTTTTTTAAAATTAAATCCGAACTTTGGTAAATAATGGATGGGTTTTTNGTTAAAAAATTTGAAAAATGATTCTCAAATTTTTTTTAAAAAATTTCAATTATAAAATCTATTTTGTTTTTTTTCTGATGATGTGATTTTTGGGACAATTTTTTTTTTTTTTTTTTTGAAAATTAAATCCGAACTTTGGTAAATAATGGATGGATTTTTTTCGAAATTAATTTATTAGAAGAGAAAAAGAGAAAAAAATCGGATAATCTTTTCGGATGATGAAATTTCTCATTGTCCGCGGACTGAAATCTATTTCAAAATGTTGTTGTTGTTGTTTGTTTTGGTTAATTTTTTTCATTAAAAAGCAAGATTCCATGGTAACAAAGTTTTCTTTGGAATTTTTTATTTTTTATTTTTTAAAGAATTTCGTTTCAATTTCAAGTGATTCGATAACAACAATAGAAACGAGAATTTTCTTTTTTCAATCAAAATTCATCTTTTTTTTCCTTATCCCACACAAAATGTTACTAGATTTTTTGTTGATGTAATAAGAATTTCCGAGAAATGAGAAATGGGGAAAAAATTATTTCCGTTTCAATTATTTTTATTTTTGTTTGTCGATTTGTGTGAATATTTTTGTTCAAAATCAATCTCAAATCACCATGTATCTTGTTATGAAGAATTTTTTTTGAAAATTGAATTTCAAAAACAAGATAGAACACCAGCTGTGTATGTACATGTATGAATGTGTCTTTTGGATGTTTCGGATTCCTGAATGAATGAAATTTAACCCAATTTTTTTTCTTCTCTGCATACCATAATCTAATTTTGTAGTTGTTGTTGTTGTTGTTGTTGTTACAACAATTTGATTTGTCTTTGTATTGTTATTTGATGATAATGATAATGATAAAGGGAAATGAAAGTGAAATGAAAGAATCCGGTAAACAAATTTATGTAGTTTTACATCATCATAATCATCATCATCATCATTGATAATAATCGGCTTTCATTATTATGGGATATCCGACCAACAACAACAACAAAAACAAAAAATGAAAGACTGACTTGATGGTTCAAAAGAAATCTTATGATTGTTGTTGTTGTTGTTGATGATGATGATGACCAAAATGAAACTTAAAACGAAGAAGAAGAAGAAAATAAAAAAGTTTTTCTTTTTAATCAAAATTAATTAAAAAGATTTTTTTGTTGTTTGTATGTTTGTTAATGTAATGTTGTTGTTTTTTTTTGGATTTTCAGTGGAAAAATCAATTTGATTCTGTGTTTTTAATTACTTTCTTTTTCACTTTGTAATTTTTTTTTCACTTTGTATTGAAAAAAAATGGATTTTTTCGCAGTGCAAAAACAACATCATCATCATTAATTTATGATCTAAAAACAAAAGAAAATCCGCTTTGAAAATTTTCTTCCTTCTTTTTTTTGTTGTTGTTGTTGTTGTAAATTATTAATTAAATCGAAAATCTCGAATGACACATTTTTTTTTTGGTTCTAATTGAAACAAAGGTAAAACTTTGAAAAGGACACATCCATCATCATATTGTTTTTTTTTTGCCACCGTTAAATTGAAATATGATATAAATAATGTCCGATGTTTCGCAGAATTTAACATTGGGTTTTTGTTATTCAATTAGTTTTTTTTTGTTTTTTGTTGTTGACAATTAGTCGTCCAAGATAAACTTCATGATAGTTGACATAATTAGTGATTCATTCCAAAAAAAAATTTTTTGTTTGTTTCCAGTTCTGTTTTGCAACATAGGAAATTTCCTAGAAAGAGATACTTTTTCCCCGGAATAAAAAAATCACAGCTCATCAAATAAAGAGTTCTTTTTTCGGAAATTTTCCGATCTTACACCAACTGTAGAATGACTTTTGGTCTCTTTTTTTTTATCTCCTTTATCTCTATATAATTATACTAGACTAGATGATAAAATACCAACACAGAATCCGATCAACAAAAAAAACTGTCTGATGTTCAAATTGTTTTCGGCTTGTTTATCGCAACATTTTAATCGCATCAAAATGGACCAAATAAATTCCTTTCTATGGAATATTGTGTGTGTGTGTGTGTTTGTGGTATGTTAACAACGACAAAATTCCTTGCATTCAAATGAACTCCATTCGCGGTGGTCCTGGGTATTTTTTTCTGGTTTATTGATAAAAGAAAGAATTATTCAATTCAATTTTTTATTAATAAATAATTTACGTCATTGGCGAACAAGTGTAAACACACTACTAGCTATAGTTGCCAGTAGGCATTCCAAACAAAACAAAAAAATCCATGAAACTGATGAATTGAATAAATTTGAAAAAAAACAAAAAAAAAACAAGCAAATATTTACTTGGACAACCAGTGTTCAACTGTGATTATCATCATCATCATGATGTTTTTTTTTTGTTTGATGTACATAACATATGGAGATTATATAACCGAATGTTTCAATTTTTTTTTTTCGTTTTTCCAAAATTGTTTCTCGGCCTGGCTATTTATTTATTTATTTCCTAATTATCTTATTACATTTTTTGTTGTTGTTGCTGTTGTTTATTTTATTATTTTCAAGAAGAAAAATTGGTCACTGATTGATATTGATTGATTGATCTATTTTTTTTTTGTTTTGTTTTGATGTTAATTAATTTAATAGATAATAGTGTTGATCACATAATCTCTTTTATGATTTTGTTTTTTCTTTTCTATCCCTCACCTCCCGATTATCAACCAACCAACCCGTAAATCGCCCTTTTCCACCAGAAAAAAATATGAATATTTAAATCGAAGAACTTTAACCAAGAAAAACATCATAATCATTATCATCATCAAAAACAAACAACAACAACTTTTCAAAAGATCATTCAATAAAGAATTAGAGAGAAAGAAAGAGAGAATCATTAAAACTTACTTGTACACACCTACACCTACAGTGTGTATACACACCTACACACAACACATCAAAGAAACTGAATATTTTCAGTAAATCATAATTGTGGAAAATAAAAAGTTTTTTCTTTCTTTCTTATGTCTTTTCAAGCAAAGAAGAAGATGAAAAACATTTTCATTTCTTAATTGTGCATTCACATAAAGATATGGATATTTTATCAAAATTTTTTCCATCTCTGCTAATTACTAGAAAAACTCTGTTATAGCTTTCTCTCTTTCTCTCATTCCAAAATAAAAGTTTAGTTTTTTCTTCATTTTCTTCTTCTTTTCAAGTCGATCATTCATTATTACAGAAAAAAAATTATGTAATTTATTTGTTCAAGTGGAAATTTTGTTTTACTTTCTTCAACGCACACACACACACACACAGAATCGTATATCTTTTTTTACACGATGATTACCTTCATTTTTTTTTCTCTTCAATCACTAAAAAAAATGATTTTCATCAGAAACTAACTTATTGTCGTTGTTGTTGTTGTTGTTGTTATCATCAAAGAATGAGGTTAAGAGGATGTGAAAATTATTGATTGCTTCCAATTTTCCTTGGAAATGAATGTCAAGGACCCATGTTTGAAAAATAATTATCAAAATTTTTTTTTCTGGAAAAATAATCACGTTTTATTTTTTCCACTTAATTTTTGTTCTGAAAATTTTTAAAAGTTTGTCAAAGACATCATTCAAAAGGTCATTTTTTGATTCACTTATGGAAAGCATAATGATGGTATGAACATTAATTGTGGATGATTTTCCAAATTTTGTCCTTCAATTTGTTGTTCTTGCTGCTGTAGTTGATGATGAAGAATCTTGTTACAATTATCATTCGCTAATGATGATGATGTAGATGTTGATGGTAATTCTAATGAAGAATTATTTCCCAAAAATATTGTTTCGAATTCATTAACAGAATCTTTTATTTCATCATCATTATTATTACTTTGATTAATATTTTTTTCAACAACAAATTCATCACAACTACTTTCCGAATCACCATCATGATGATGATAATATTTATTTAAAGATTTCATAATAATTTCTGATTCATTAGAAGAATATTCTTCTTCTTCGTCTTCATGTTTATGTTGTTGTTGAAATTTTTCATCATCATCATCATCATCTTCAAATTCGGTTGTTAAATCATCAACATAATCAAACGATGATGTTGTTGATGATAATGATGATGATGTTGATGAATAATAACCATTTTCAACATCATCAACAATATTATTATTATCATTTTTATTATTATTATTATTAAATCTTGATAATGATGATTGTTTTGAATATTTATTATTATTATTCATTTGTTCTTCTTTTTCTTCTTCTGTTGAATTATTAAAAATTATTTTATAGAAAAAATTTACAGATTCTTTCAATATTTGTACAAAGTCAATAAAAAATTTGTTCATTGAAATTCTATTATTCGTGGTGTGTGTGTGTAAATGTGAAAAAAAATGAAAAAGAAAAAAATTATTATTATTATTATTATAATGAAAAAACAAAAGCAAAAAATTTTAGATGATAATTTCTCTGTACAGGTAGGTAGGTACAAGAATATTCTGTGCTGTTTTTTTTTATATTTAAACACGACAAGGTGTGTACATTG